TTATGTGAAAATGAAGTCTCAAAAGAAGAAATGTACTATCAAAATTTAGAATAATCTGTCTTGAAACCTTTAAGACTTTTCTTCATTAAGAAGTTAATTCTTACTGAGAAACATGTAAGTTAAATTTAAAAATTCAATAAATAAAGCTTAAGTTTTCCTATTCGAGCTCTTTCTAGAAGTAAGTAGTTTAAATTAAAGATTACAAGAGAAATAAATTTCAGTAGCAAAGCTTTGAAAAGCAAGGAAACCTCTAATATCTAAATAGTCTGTAAATGAAGTAGATTAATTTATATCCATAACTCCAAGAGTGTTTGTTGGTTTACTTTTTACCTTTTGAGCAGATTATATATTTGTAGGTATGCCTTTACTATTCCTGTGGTTGTCGTGACCGTGCTTTTCATTTTGATGTTTTTTCATGGACTCTGACTCCCAGGCATTCCCAGGACAGCAAGCTTTTCTTACCAGTTTTTAACTGACAGTGCCCACATCAACACATCAAGTCTTTTGAAGACTTTTCTTTGTCAAGCTCTCCAACTTCCTTAACCTGAGTCTAGAATAGACATAAGACCTGAAGGGGTAGCAATAGCACAGCAGAAGAACCACCACAGAACCCCCAAATGAGGCCTTCCTAAAGAAGCAAGAAGCTTTGCCTCTGAGAAGATGAAACAGAGGATGAAGAAGTATGATCTCTAGATGGGTAAATGTGTTTTGAAGAAGCTCTTCAGAGCTGTTGTATTCACAGTGATTATGATGTTCCATTTCATCCTCTGCAAACAGATAAAATTTCTGGGAAACCAAGGTGCAAGGAGTGGCTTATATGTCAATGTGGACTCAAGACTGCATGAGAAGTTGAGCCAAAAATTTGCCTAGACTTGGCCACAGAGAATCGTTCTGAGATCTAGACACGTTAAAAAGAAACTCTGATGTATTTTAAATGACAGCAGGCCCAAAACAGCACAGTTGGGGAAGTGAGCAGCTGTAACTAAGACACCAGGTCTGCAAATGGGAGCATCCTAAAATTTTATCCCAAAGGCAGCAAAAGTCATGAAGTTATTTCATCAAAAGTATATTTCTAAGAAAAATGAAGGGAAATGGTGCAATGAGACCTTTAACTTTCCTTAACTTTTTTCTTTTTCTTTAACTGGGAAATACAGGAAAAGTCAAAAAGTCAGGGGAAAAAAAGAAAATATCAGGTTGTTTTCTGAATGTTTTCTCAGCGTCTCAGTCTTAAAAGATGACTTATTTTTATTTTTCCCTTTAACTTTAGTCCAGGAAAAGCTCTTCAGGCTGATAGGTAAAGCAGTCTTTCTCTTGTGGGAGTGTTCAGGGAAAAAGAGTTCACTCCACCCATCAACCTCCAGCTGTTTGCTAAAGTCTTTTCTTCCTCACAAAGTCCAAGAAGATAGCTCTGAGTCCTTTCTCCTTGGTTCTGTGCCATCTCTGCTGTGTCATTCTCTCTCATACCTTGGTTCCGTGCTGCTGTAGTTTAGTTCAGCTTATCACAGTATGCGTCTTGGAATCTTCATTCCTCCTCCAAGTTTTTGGCTGTCCTTAATTTAAAGGACATCCCTCCCATCCAGAGAGGGATATCCTCCAGGCCTCTCTCTGGTCCATCTCCAATTTCACCCGGGGTTATCTCCCTGGCATGGGGCTGTGTTCAGCCCGTCCACTTTGGCTCAGCTCCAATGCCAAGCCTCCCCTCCACTTTACAGTGAGAGGGAAAAAAGAGGACCCCTCTGCAGTCTAGCTGCAAAGGGTGGGGGAAAGAGGGCTTGGCTGCAAGGCCTGCCTCTCTCTCTCTCCTGCTTACCAGCTATTCGTGAGTTTCTTCCCTCACAACAAACACGCTCACTCCAATGCTGCCTCCAACCCTGGCCTAGCCAGAGCTGAGGGCCACAGGGCCCCCCTTACCCCCAGAGGGGAAAGAAGGGGGCCCTGCCACCCCTGGCCTTCTCACACCCACACACACACACAGCAGCAGACAGACTGATTGCCAACTTCTGCCGGTCGTGTATATATGATTTTTCACAGGAGCAAACAAAACAAGTGGTGATTGGCCCTCTAGGGGAGACTGCCCTGGCACCCAGTCACCTCTAGGCCCCCCAGCTCCCAGGGGGTGCAATCTCAAACCACGACACAGGAATACAGCAGCATGGTAGGATTTACTCTACTACACTCCAGGTCTGGTTAACCTGAGGAATCATACTCATTATCTGCTCTGGGGCTAGCAGTGCAGTTGTAACCTGCCCTAGTACCTGGCCTCATTCTTAAGCTACTCAGAACCAAAACAGTGCTGCATGTTCCAAGGCAGTACAGTTACCTCACCGCATGTGCTCCCTTGCTCCTTTGCAACCACAAGCTTTTTCAATGGAGCAAAGGCTCCTTAGCCCTTCTCCTTTCATAAATCCATGTCTCAGAATTATAGACATTCACATATATACTGGTTTGTTGAGATTTGAGTCAAAACAATTCAGAAAATTAAATTAACTTCTTGAAGTTAATCAGGGCCAGAGTATCCAGAACTTTACTGAATCTAACCCTCACTTAAGTTTGCAAGCAAATGGAGAATAACATCTTAAAATATTCAAGAAATTACAAAGCTGTAAAATCCATACACTAAGACCTTCCAGAAACCTCTAAAACTGGGGGATCATAAGTAAGCGCAACAAGACTGCCATTGGTATGAAACACCAGTAAACCACCAAGCAACAGTTAAATTTGTAAGTCACGGAATGATGCAAGTACAGATGGAAAAGAAAAGGACATGCTACCTTCTCTTCCAGTCCCAGCTGTTGCAACTGATTTTTCACAAAGCTCCTTAAAAACTCATAAGCAGGAGCTTATATCAACGAACAGATTGATTTATCACATTGTTTAGTGCTTCAACACTGACATGGTAAGTTCTACTTACTGTATAACATAGTCAATCAAACAGGATCATACACCCAACATGCCTTCACAGATATATACAATCAAGTAACAGTACTAAGAAAAAGATTACTGACTCCAAACAGACGTAAAATCCCTTCACTAAAGGCAGAAGACATAATCCCCACTGGTCTATTAATGTTGATTACTTAATTAAATTTCATAAAAGGTAGAATTAAGAAACAAATTAATGATCTTATAAAAGAAAGACTGTTGAAAGAGTAGGACTTAAAGAAGACCATGACCTGTGTTGAATGGTTTTACATTGAATGATATTGCCTTTCTATTTGCTGCATGGAATTAGTTTCTTATTTCTGTGAATGTTCTTTAATGTACTAGTTAAAACTGCATAATTTATTTCCTAAAGACTCAGAGATACATAGAGTTTTCTGCCTTCTAAGGAAACAAGGAGAGGGAGGGACAACACTGTAAAACATCTAAGTAGATGTAATAGATCTCCATCTGACCTAGGAAAAAAATTGAGGGAAAAATGAGAAAGTTACTATTTGGAGTTAGAAACTTCACTCTCAGTCTGAGTCATTGCTAAAAACAGTTTCTTTTTTAAGATCTCCTACTTCTAAAATTGATGCAAGTGCCGTTCCCAAACTCTGAATGACTGAATTACGAGGCATTAGTATGTTACTTGGCTACTAATGACTGCCATTGGAAGAAGGGTTCTGCTGATGTCCTTGGGTTTTTTAATTTTTCTTAATAACACTGGTACATATGTGGTTTACCTTTCAGCAGAGCTGGACAAAGTATGTAATGATACAACAAGCCTGGGTGTTTCCAGATGACACTCAAAAGCAGCAAGAAAGATTAGTAAGGTTATCAACTGAATAAAAATACAATAGTAAACAAACTAATGCTCAGCAAAATCAATGGGCTTCAGGTCAGAGAGCCAATCATCAATATAAATTCACTGAACATTACACAGAGATAGTAGGAGAAAATCTAGAATTACTCTGCATGAAGTACAAAGAAGGAAACTCCCATTGAGTGGTGAACACATGAAAGCAAAAACATACTGACACAATGTTAAAAACTCAACTACTTTGATAAAGTAATATTCACAGATCTTTAAGAATGGGAAACAACACAGTACCTTTATCCTGCACATTCCTATATTTCTGTCTTGTATTGAAGAGGACCTCATTTTATCCCAAGCTAATGTATCAAAGCCTGCACCTCCTCTATTTCTTAAAAGCCTTGAAAGTTCACAGTAGTGTAATATTCTCCACCCTCTAAATATTCCTTCCTTGTCTGTACATTTAACAGTCTGTCAACAGTAAAACATTACTTTCAAAGCCAGTCATAGTGCTTTCCTAAGCCAGGTGTACCCCACTATGGCAAGAAAGACAAAATATATGTATGCAGCAAGCAGTAATCGATAGAAGAAATATAATATTCTCCCATTAAAAACAAAACAAACAAAAAACCAAGCAAAACCCAACCCAAACAAACAAATCCAAAACAAACAAACAAAACACAAAACCAAAGTAAAACAAAAAAAAACCACCCAAAAAAACAATATCAGAAACAAAAAACACAAGGCCAAGGCCATAAAATTCAGTAAGTTCAAATATGACTTATTTTGTTCACCTTGTATATATTGTTTCACTATAGAGTTTTACTGGGAAAAGACCTTTTCCTTTTACCATCTACTGTTAATCTCTGATTCTTCAGGCAACCCTGGCTAAAGAACTGTAGCCATAATACACATTTTTCAAATCCTGAACTGGTCTGCAAGAGTATCTTCAGAGGTCTCGTAAATTTTAAATCAGAATAAGCCTTGGAGAAGAACATCTGTCTGTTTTCCTGCACCAAATGTTTAGTTCTCCACTGCTGATAAACTTCGAGTAAAATAAGGAGATTAGATGCTTCACAGAGCAACTAATTTATTTATCTATAAACACACACAGAGCCAAATTTTCTTTCACTTTCTGACTGACTTGAAAGCAAGTACACTAAAAAGCAGTGATAGTAAGATTCAGGCTATAATCAAGGAAGAATCATATGTGTATTTTCCTGGTTTCATCCGCGATGGAGTTAATTTTCTTCCCAGTAGCTGGCACAGTGCTCTGTTTAGTACGAGAATAATGTTAGTATCGCACTGATGTTTTAGTTGTTGCTAAGCAGTGCTTACTTAAATCAAGGACTTTACAGCCTCTCATGCCCTGCCAGTGAGAAAGCTGGACAAGAAACTGGTAGGGGACACACACAGAACTGCTGACTCAAACTGGCCAAAGAGATATTCTGTACCGTACAACATAATGCTCATTATATACAAACTGGGGACAAAATTGAACAGGGCTGTGCTCAAGAGCTGGCTGGGCATCAGTCGGTGAGTGGTGAGCAATTGGATTTTGCATCACTTGTTTTGTGCATTCTACTTCTTCTACCATTATTATTGGTTTTTTTTTCCTTTTCTGTCTCATTAGACTGTCTTTATCTCAACCCAGGACCTTTCTCTCTTATACTCTTCCCATTCTCTCCCTTATCCTGCTGGAGTTGGGGGGGAAAGAGGAGCAGATGAGTGGGGCTTAGTTGCTGGCTAAACTAGTTGTGAGGTTAAACCACAACAGTATATAAAAACATAATAAATCTCAACTACAGCATTTTTGAAACAGAAACCAAAAGGAGAAGCAAGATTAGCAAATGGTTACGTACATATTGAACTGTCGAATATGAATTGTCTCAGTAAGTTCACAGCAGGCAATAAAATAAATGGGTATTTGCAGAGTATGGATCCGGAATTAAGACTCACTGACTGAAAACATATAAAGAAAAATATAACAAAACAACGTATGAAAAAAACCCAACTTCAAAGTTATTTGAATTCTAACTCGTGGTAAGATCTGAATTCAAAAGTGTTTGTTTCTTCCATATTCCTAAAGATCTAAATCAGTACAGGAAAAATGTCCCTCTGCCTGAAAGTAGGTAACTGTATCCTCTCATACTAACCAAGAAAACTCAGAGCATTGAAATCAACTGATTTTGGCATAGAAAAAATTTTTTGGTTGTTAAAAACCCACATTCATTTATCGTATAAATACAAAGCCTTATCTTATGCCTTCCCAGTGGAGTTATTCACTTGTATAAGCACTAAAAAAATCATCACATAAACTAACAGTGTTTTACATTATTGTTTATTTGTATTTTTTATATTGTTTAATTGTCCTTTTTGCAGTTACCTTGAAGTTCCTTCTATTGAGCCCTTTCTTCACAGCAGTGGTAGCTGGTGGTAGGGCTTCTCAGGAACAGCAAGTCTATTCAGAAAATTTTGCCAACATAACTCTAGAAACTCATGAGAATATGAGGTAAGGCTTGTATTGTCATCAACAAAACTCAAATTCAATCATTTGAATTAAATTCAATGCTGAGGAGAATTCAGTTCTCATCAACAAAAATCAGGTTTTCAAAATTAAAGACATCTCTGAGGAATATAGCAGTGTTGGTGTTTGCAAAGACTGCTACAGCCCTTATCTCTGTGATTAAAATCTGTCCATTACTCCAAAATTAATTTAGAAGAGAGAAAATAAGCATACCTTGGAAAGCAACTAAATTAAAATATACTAAAATAAGTTTTAAACTTCCTTTTAGAACTATTATTATTTTTGTCAATCTTGGACATTTTATATCTCAGGACCTTATCTCCAGGAACACGTGACGCACTTCTATTTTTACTTTGTTGACAAGTAAACCAAAACCATTAGTCAGAGAAAAAATGATTGGCAGACAGTTCAGGGATAGGTGATTACTGTGAAACTGTAGAAGATAAGTAGGAAGATTAGTTTATTAAGAATGTTGGAAATACATCAGGGAAAACTATGACCAAATGAGGGAAAAAATATATTTTAAAAAAAGTTAATCAAATCAACAAAGAATGACAAAACAACTATCTAAATCTATTTACTGCTCACATTGTTCTACTATAGTTGGAAAAATATCTGTGTTATGAACTTCTGTGTTCCATGTACAATACTGAGTGAATTTGCTAGTATAGCAATTTTGCATTGCATTAGCTTATATTTTTATTCACCTAAAGCTAATATAAGGAAACAAGAGTCTTAGTCAAACAAATCCCTGGTTCCAGCTGTATTACCCAGAAGAAAAAAAAACTTTCATAAAGCTGCTTATTCTAAAGAAGGGAGTTAGAAAGTTTTCACTCCATCAAAGCACTGGTGCTTCAAAGTTTCCTTTTGATCAATAGAAAACTCCAAGGCAGAAATTTCACTTATAAAGGGATTTGCTACCAATGTGTATGAATGAATAGAATGAAAGACTAAGAAAAGAGCATTAGATCACTTTAGTTTTGGCTACCAAATAATTTTCCTGGTATAGCATAACTGCATTTTTAACCAGATGAGGTACATATGTTTACCTCTGATATACCATCTTACACACAATTTGCCTGAGACTTAGAAGTTTGTGGCCAATATGATAATAGGATAGAATATTTGTAAGTAAAAAGAACTTTATGACCAGAGCAATAAAGACCCAACATGCATAGGCCACCTGGCCTTTTCGTTCCTTTCTGATTGTATGTAAGTTTGTAGTAAGTAACTAGTAAGTAGTTAGTGGATAAATTTGAAGAGTCTTTTCTTTCTAATGCTATAAGTAAGTTTATTGGGGCAGTTAAATGAGAAAACTTAATTAATCTTCCTACTTTGATTTAGAATACTTTATACAGAGGCACACCATACATAAATTTAGGACACTACAAAGTTATCTTTTCCTCCTATTAAATACAATTCTATTTTTATGGCCATAATAATTATCAGATCCTCTCTACTGTAATGTTTGATTTAAGTTTACATAATGAGCACTGAATCTTAGAGTGCACTACATAAATCAGACTATTTTCACAACCAGCTCCAGTCTGCCTAACAGTGTAGACAAAAGTGAATTTTGAAACCTAGGGGGTCATGAAAAAGAAAGAAGTCCTGTGAAACAAAGCTTGACAAATGAAAGGAGAAGAAGGACAAGGACATCTTGGGGGAGAAATCTCTCCATCAGTTATTAGAATCAGCCCTACGTATTGCGGAGTAACTCTTCAGGGAGAGCAGTGAGTGAGAGAATCCAGGTGCACATACACTATACTGCTCACCCAAACCCACTCACTGTATAACTCTATCACAAACTCCCTCACAGTTCACCTCAGCTGGCCTGCCAGCAGAGACATGGCCTGAATGGCATCAGAAAAAAGATAAAGCTGGGTCCCTCCCCAGCACTGACACACTCTGACGCCAAATTGCCCCTGTATAGCCTCCCTACTCCCCACAAAAAGCATAACCCACACCTCTGTTGCTGGTTTCTCAATGCTGCATTCCTGGCAATTTGACAGGGTTTTATGTTGTCTATCAAAATAAAGCAGCCAGTGTCCCCCCACTGCCATTTGGAACCTATGGAAGAACTGATAAGTACTTTTTGGAACTGATAAAATACTTTTGGAACTGAAAAGACTGGATGCTCTGTTCCCCAGTACAATTAGTGTCAAATGGAGAACAATGCAGAAGACCACCTGAAATGGGTTTCTGAAGGCACTGAATCAGCACCTGGCCACCCATGGGGAAGACAAGAAGAATTGCTGCTTTATCTGCAATTGTGAAAAGATGGACAATGTTGATCAAAGTTGTCCAGAAAAAGGCAATGAGAAGATTGAGAACTGTTTCAGTGGTATACTCTGTAGTATTTAAAAGCAATTTCAGGCTTACTAATGTGAAGGATTAGAAAAAGTTCTCTCTTGTCCAAGTTCTAAACATTATGTTCTACTGCTAACATGCTGATATTATTCTGTTTTCTGTTAATCAGATAGGCAACAATAACAGTGAGTAATTTTATTTTTGCCACTGTCTCCCAAGTCCTAGCAGATCCAACAATACTGTGAGTGATTTACTAAGTGTGAATTTACTCAGGGCACCACTTTTTTTTCTGGAGGATACTTTCTATGTGCATGTTTATGGGACTACTGTAAGACACTGAACACACATTCTGTGAGAAATGATCCTCTCAGAGGCCAGGGAGCATAAGGCAGAACCTGAAAAGAAGTTTTGGAATTCTACTTTGAGTAAACAGAGAGGCGACTGTTTTCTTTTATTATTAACATAAATCCAAAGTTCCACATACTGTCAGTGTCATCATAACGCAGAACATTACTAACTTTAATTGCTTATAGGCAAGATAAGTTTTTGAATTTATTGTCTTAGAACATACAACAGATAACAGACTATGAAGACATTTTTCTCAGGATGATCTTCAAATTTTTTCAGGAACTACCTACATCATTAGACCAAAGGTAGATTAATGCAAACTCAGAGAAGCTAGAGCAGACTGGCAAATGGCAGAGAGGATAGAAGACATAAGCAAATTTTACCTCAGCAAGCCTCTAGTCCTGCCCTGAGATACAGGAGCTAAATTCAACCAGATGAGTTTTCAAATTTCTACTGTCTGTATTTGAAAAAGAGAATTTATACTTGATTTGCTTCTGAAATAAAATTCAACCTGTGAATTTCTGAGCTTTACAAGAATTCAAGATCAGAAGTTTCACCAACCGCTTGGTTTCACTGATGAGATTTCTGTGGGGATGGTGAGGTGGAAAAGGGGATGTGACAGAGTCACTTCAAGATGCTCATGAAGGAAGGTAATTAAGATTTGTTTTTATGAAAGACTTCAGAAAGCGTAATCTTGAAGTACTATGTTTATCAAGTATGCTTGGTGTTAATTTCTGACATCTCTTTGGTGGGTGCCATTTCCTAATCATTCCAAGGAAACAAAAACCTGTAATTTTACTGATTTTCTTTCTCATGGTTTTAAAAGGATAATGACGTTGCTCTGAAAACCTTTCAAGTCTTGGCCTGAATTTTCAAAATACCTAATCCTTACCCAGAATATAAACATGCTACTTTTAGGTTTCATTCTTTATCTTAATGACTTGAACAACAATTTGGCCCCTTCCAATTTCAGTTCACAGAACTGAGTATTTCTTCCTGCTTGCCTTTCGCTATTTAAAGCTTTGAGGAAACACAGACTTTTTGTATGAGGATGACTCTTATTAAAAACTAACAGAGATGCAATAAAGAATAACAGGAGAAGATTGGGGAAAACATGCATTGTAAATGTACTCATATGTTTAGAATCATGAAGTCACAGAAACATTTTAAGTTGGAAAAGGCCTTTAAGATCAACAAGTCTAACTTCTAACCCAGCACTGCCAAGTCCACCACTAAACAATATCCCTATAGCAAAATTCAGTTGATTTTGACTACTGATAAAAATTATTATAAAATCATCTGAAGTATTCTTTTTCAAGTGGTTAGGTTGTATTTCCTCTATTAAAGATTTTTTCCTTCTGTTTACTACTTTAAATACCAATTTTTAATATATTGTGAAACTCTTTCTTTCAAAATCACAGGACATCCTTTTCTAGGACCATTATGTTAACATCAAAAGAATATATTTGGCTTGATAAATAAGGATTTACTTTCTGATATTATCATCTCTGTCAATCCTTAGTAATTGTATTGCTTAGTGTAGTTCCTATTTTCTTATGTACAGTGGAATTGTTCATCATATCAGAAATGTCAAGAAGCTATATATATATAAGTATTGGAAAATTTTTAACAGACTAGTTATATTGCTAGAGGAATATCTGTACAACAGCCCATCTTGTCCTCTCTCATTCCAAAAAGAAGTCTACATTAGCAAGTTACATTGTCCAAGTTACATCAGTATGTTGCACTATTAAGAGTACAGTAGTAGCTGATCTTGAAGAACTTGCTGATTTTAATAAAATTATTTGCAGAAAGGTTAAAATATTTATATGTATGTACCAGTATCACTATGCTTTACTATTAAAAACATCATCCTAATAAATAATTGTCACATAAACGTGTACCAGATGCTAATAAACTGCTGCAACACCAAATTCAGCAAGACTGAAAGAACTTTCTATCAACAGCCTAAAATCAGCAACCAGCTGCTCTCTTACAAGTGATGAGACACCTCCAGTCTGGGACATGATAAGAAAATTCCTACCATGAATGGCAGAATCAATTCCATTACTCCCTAAAATTATTTTACTATTTAAAATTGAACACAGCTTGACTCTGTAATGAATCCAACATTTAAGGGTATCAGAGCTACCATATAACAGGCCGGTGGAATGGAAAGATTGTTGGCCTTGCCATTCTCATATTTTGAAGGATACATTCAGCTGCCCCTTTGTGGGAGAATTCTGATCCTGTGTTCAGCCCAGAGCATTCTCAGGACCTGCACACAGAGACTGAGACAGTGAGCTGTTCCTACATGCTGTCCTCAGGTTCAAACTCACCCAGCACACTGTAAAACATATTGAGGCCTTTTGCTAATGTGCTGTTTTTTCCTCATTTGCTTTCTGTCTATCCGTGAATCAGAAAATTGCATAAAGTGCTATTCAGAAACGGACAATTTCAGAAATAATTTGCATTCTGCTAGACAATTTCTGATCCTTTTCCATCTTGCTAGGGGATGTTTGCTGAAGAAAAATGAACTCTTGCAGAAAACTGCAAAATCATTACACCACTTGAGTAGAGTCTACATTTGCTTTAAAAAAAATTGTTTATGACAAGCCAATTTATTACATAGAAATTCAAAAATTCTTGAGTCTCTTGGAACCTAATAAAAAAGAGCCTGTGATGAATTGTTGTGACAATTTATCTCCTACTTGCACCATCCAGGCTTCTATTCGTTACCAGAAGATTTACATTTGTCCTATAGTAAAAACCTGCTAAATGTGCAACCTTGTCACTTGAATAAATTCACTCATCTAGAATTTCTTTGTCTGCCACAGAAGATTGTTTATTGGGCTCTCTTGCCTGAAATAGTTGTACTTTGGTGTATTTCAAATGTTGTAGCCACCTTAAACACCTATTTATAATGGAAGTTATTTTTTTCTTGGTTTTTTGGGGTTTTTTTTAGTGCAGGAAACAGGAATCAGGCAGTCTTAAGCAGCTGGATTTTGGTGAAGAAGATTTACAACTAGAGTCAAAAGAAGCACCTTGCAAAAGAACCCTTTGTGAAGAGAACAGTATGTGAGTTTCTCTTAAACATAAAAGCCTTTCCAGAAATCAGGGTCTTCATAGCAGAAACCATTAGAGAAGCTTTTCACAATGAGGTATCACACAAATTCAAATGCCTGAGTCATGTAGGCTCCACCACTAACACTGCAGTGCTGGCTTTCCTTTCAGATGTCTATGCACCTGCTCTGACGTTGGAGCCAGAAGCACTATCATGCTGATCTTCCTACATCCTTGGAAGGAAACACTGCAAGGAAGTCAGGAAACACTGCCAAAGTACTGGGGAAACATGTCAATATAAAGAAGATTTTATTAATTCGCAAAGTCGAAGTAAGGAGTCATAACTGGAAATGCATTAGCTCAACTTTTGCCTAACGGCTTCATAAAGGCTAATTTAGTAACTCAAAACCTTCACTGTGGTCTTCTTGTAGCTTAATTTCCCATTATTCAGTCTTTCGTAAATCTTAGAAATCTATCTAGCTATTACTTTAGAAATTCTCCTAGATATTTTAGGATAATGGGTAGAATGTTAAATAGATAAACAAATGCTACCGCCCCTTTAACAATGACCCATAAAACATACACCCAACTATTTCATCTTACTGTGTCAAAATGATCTATTTTGGTTTGTACTTGACTTTTCTATGGTTTGTGTTTGTTTTTTGGTTTGTTTTTTTTTCTCTTTCCAGACTTTGACCTGACATTTCCAAGCAGCTCTTGAGAGGGAGGAACACAAGAAGGCAGCAGGAACAGAAAACCTATCACTGGAAGGCAATGAGAGTCAATGAGCCCGAAAAACAACTGTTCAGTCACGATAATCCTAATAAGTAAGAGTAATTTTTCAAGCATGTCTTATAGGCAGATATCTAACTGAAAGTGAAATAACCTTTGGAAAAAAAAAAAAAAAATGAAAGACCACTGCAGCTAGTAGCCTTTTAAGTTAGGATCCTCGAAAGAGTATGAAGTAAAATTGTGTATGTAATGATTGAATAAGAAACAGATGGGGAAAGTGGTTTATTATGAAGAAACTGAATTAACAAGGAAGGCTTAAATGACTTGTAAAGGAAAATAATTTTTCCAATCTTCAATGATTTTGAACACAAACCTTCAGAATTTTACTCGTTTACATTTTATATTCTTGCAGTATATAAACCACCCTGTTTCATTGTGATGACCAAGTAATGAGTCTGATATCTGAATAACACTGTTTGCATCTGGCACTAGCAGATGGAAAGACTTACCAAATATACTTCGTAATATCTGTCTTTCAATTTATACTTTCTGAGTGGTGTGTTGTCATCATTAATTATGCTAACAAATAAATACAAATGTTTTGACCTAATAAAATTCTATGCACATCAAATAACTGCCTGGTTATAGTCATCTTATGACTCATCAATCATTATTTTTACCTCTTTTCTAAAGAGGTAACTCTGTCTGACAAATGGCTGCTGCCAAAACCCGCAGAAAATAACTTGCTGCCAGGCTTCTAAGAAGGAAGAGTACTTTAAAGGTAACTTTGTAAGAAGTACAAGATGTTGAAAAGATCTGACATTGTCCTTTAGCATTTACTTCCCTCTTCATCAAATCACTGAATAATGCAAGCAGGAAGTAGATTTTCAGCTAATGCCCTGAAGAATTTTAACCTTGACAGATGAGGAAAGCATAGAGATAGCAAAGACATGCAGCCAGACATCCCAATCTCTTTCCATAGGAGAACACAACAAAGGAGAGGAATAGGCAGCTCTCTAAATACGTTAGTATTTATACAAAAGCAACATTTGCACGTGAAACAAATTTAGAGTGGATAAGGCATAACACTGGAAACTGTATTAGGCAAGGTGTTTGCGCTGTTCTGATATTAAAAATGAAAATCTTTAGCTTTCCTAATTTCTTTACAGCATACTCTGGAAAATATTTGGAAAAGGTAAGCTTGCCAGCAGGAAGCAAAAGTGTAATAAAAGATATTCATGTGTGTGTGTGTGTGTCAGAATATCTTTGTACTCCACTTGAACACTGTTACTGAAGTTGCACTGTGCTCTCTCTGCTAAGGGCTGGGCTCTTAGAATTTTACCCAAACCCCTTCTGTGCAAGGCACCTAAAAACCTCTAAATACAAGGCATGTGTGTCCTAGATGACTTACTGGAAAAAAACATATCATCTACCAAGGAGAAATTATTTTAAAACTCATGCTGAAATTTCACATGAATGAGCCTGTTCCCTGACTGGATGGATTAAAAATTGTAGTTTGTGGTCAATATTCACCCTAATTTAGAATACTACAGCAATGTCTTAGTGTCCAATTGTTTAAAATGGTCCCTCTACAGTTCTTCTTCCCTTCTTTCTATTTCTGTCCTAATGCCAAAAGTAAAAATATCCACCCAAACTTTTACATCATCAGCAGCATGCTGAGGAATAATTTTCTGTGGGTCTAAAGTATCGAACATGGGCGCCTTTAAAGACACTTTTAACATAAATAAATACATTATTGCCATTGAAAAAAGGGGTTAAATATCACTTAAACTTTGTCATTCTATTTCGTAAAGGAGAACATCTCAAACAGTAAACACAACCTTTAAGCAGAGAGGTGTTTTCACAGTAACATTTCACGGAATGAACATCCTAATGAAGTCAAAGTAAGTTTAATGATAATGTGTGAACAAAGAATGGAGGTTATGATCATCACATAATTTGCTGTGAAGAGATTTCTCTGAGGCTTGGAATCCTTCTGTAAGTTTCCACTGTGACAGTTCCCACATTTAGCTTTGTACTCCCGCATTGTACTTAGATAGGGAGACAAGGAAGTAACATAAGGGTTATCTGGAGACCGGGCAAAATTTCTTTAGAGAGAAAAATGGAGACATGATGTTGTGAGTCTTAAGTTTGAATTTATCAGAGAAAGACTGGAAGTGGGAATATGGTGCTTCCTGGGATAATGAAGGGTTTCCTAGCTAGTGCCTAGTGTTATAGTCTGAACCAGAAGATAGCAGGCTGAAAAGAAAGAATACTGCTGCTATTCAGCTGCTATTCAGCCCTTCAGTAGATTAATAGGCTGACAAATAAAACCTGTAATACAGCAGCTAACTGCGACAAAAGATAATGATAAGGCAGAACAAGAGCCACAGGAGTTAAATTCTCATATTTTTGATAGGAAGATTAGCAAAAAGACCTACAGAAGACTTCGGACACAGTGTGATTCCTAATGAGACCTGAGTGCCTTAAATATGTGAGCAAGGGACAAAACAAAATGCAGAAGCAGCAGTCCCTGAAGGACAAGTAGTTGCTCTGTGGAACTGAGTTTCCTTTCCCTGCAAGCTCTCACATTAACTTTGCTGCCTTACATCCTACAACCTTCTGGAACCTCACAGTACCACAAAACTAAACTGGCTGAACAACAAATTCCTAGTGTTATGGTTATTCATGATGGGAAGTTCCAAGAAATGGTGAACCATCTTCCCTGTTCATGCCAGCAGTAGGGCTCCGGCTGGTTCTGGGCAGACAAAAGTCTCCTCCCCATGTGAGGAGTCACAGCATGTGTAAGCAGAATAAAGGCTCCAATGAAGCCTTCTTCAAAGATAGGTGGCGAGAAATTCAGCTGCTATTACTTCAAGTCACTTCAATTTGTTGACATACAGAGGAGTATTAAGTGGACACACAGATATTCTCAATGCCTTCAACAATTTCTTCAAAAGCATTCAGCTTGTGGTTGAATCTGCAGTTCAGACTGAAGAACACTGAACATTGCTCAGAGTGGAACAGAAAACACTAGTTTAATCATATTTATTATTCAGTAAAACATTGAGATTACAGAAATTACTTTTTTACTTGGAAGGTAATTCCCTTAGAGTGTACACAAAAAATAGAAAATACTAAGTCATGATTCTTCTGACTGATTTGAGTTGAAAAATGATTCCTAGAAAACTACTTAGAAGTACATAGCCTTGAACTGTGATGTCCACAGAGATTTTTGCTGAGTTATTCAGTAGGGAACATAATGATACCTTTTTTTAGGTACTATGGAAATGTTTTACATTACCTCTTAGCTTTTTGGTATGTATGCTTATTTGTGTCTTGTGTGACTACAGAACACCATCTTTCTGATGTTCACATTTAGAGCATTTAAAAAGGTTTGACTTGGACACAATTCTGGGAGAGAGCATATGGGCTGCTGGCTCATTGTTCTGCTGTCCATATGCATTCGTATCACATCACAAATTTCTTTTGTATAGTCTGATTAAAGCATGATATTTCTGTCTCATTTCATGTCCCTTTAATGTAGAAAAAAATATTTCAAATTATCTTGCATTTATTTTCAGGGAAGAAACATGCATATAAGCAGAACTGCCTACAGCCGTGCTGCTGCACTCTAACCTGCATATTCCCATTCCACCACTGCAGCCTGAGGACAGCGAAATGCATCCTTCCTATTCTGTCCTGTGTATCCATAGCTGAGGCTGCTCAGACATAGAGATGAGCAGAATTTGCCCCATGCAACACCTGCACTAGTGAGAAAGATTCAGAAAGCAGATGGATCCCAGCAGGACTTCAGTATTCAAGTTGTGATTGAGAAGCAGGCCGTTAAGGCATGAAAAAAAATATATCCTAAATTCAGCAAGCACTACAGAAATCACTGAATTCAAGAATGTCACAGTTTTAGTGCCCTTTCAGAAAGTATCAGTGCTACGATAGCTACAAAGTGTTACAACCTACCCACAAAAAATAGAGTATATACAGCTCAAGGTATCGCCAGAAGGACTATGCTCTCAAGAAGTTCTGAGAATGTGTAGGATCATTTCTTAATCTTCACACTGAAACAGTCCTTGAAGGGTGATATGAACTTAGGCCATGTCAGCTACTATCCTGCACATCCTTCAGTCATTGGACAAGGTCCAGAGCACACATTCCTAGGGTCATTTGGGGCATGCAGAACCGTTTCTGTTTTTCAGGGAGCTCAATAAGATCCCTTCCCCACCCCCCTCCTATAATCCCCTCCTAGCTGCAATTCCTCCATGACTTTTTTCCAATTATAATTTTTTCCCTAATATCTCAAAAATCATTACATTGTTCCCTGTTTTAATGTGGCTGTGGAGGGGGAAAACATGCAGATGCACTTTCTATGGTTTTTAGTGTTCTTTAAAGCAAACGCTACAATTTCTGCCTATTCTGTTGAGGTCAGGTTCAGCCTACACATGACTTGAGTCAAACTGGGACAATAGCAACTTTTCTTCATCTTTCCCTTTGGTGTTGTTCAAGTGGTCTGGATCAGAAGATATGGGACTCTGTCTAGAAACAGGGTATGCCCAGATTTCCCCATTCCTCATTCACAGAAAGGTGAGACAAAATCAGTTCATTGATGTAACAAATGTAAACCACTATTTTTGGAAGAAGGTGAGGGAGCAGGCACAGAGGGGAGTTATTTTAAAGAACTGAGTAGATCAATTAACTGATTAAAAGATTATATGCTTTTCTTCCAGATGTCTCACCTTTGCCTCCACAGTGCTCTCTTCAACATGTATAGAGTCATTTCAGCAATACCCCAGCATTAGCTTGAGAGCACTAATTTTCCACTGTTACTTTTGTCTGGGCTATACAATTAAGGAGCAATTTTACCTTTACTGTTGAATTCTTCCTTTCTCTGTCTGAAAAAAGTAGCTAATTCCTCACTCATTGTTAATGCTGTAGACTTTTTTTCTTTTAGAGTCTGATCATAGGAGATGAAAGGATTTATTTATTTTATTTTAGATTATTACGTCCATCTGATTTCTTATGGGTCTCCCTTCTCAGGAATTATTTCACTACAAAGATGTGTTCATGCTGCCACTCCGTGGCAGTGACAAGATAAATAAATTCAAAATGTCCGTGTTTATGTTGCTCTCAAAAATCTCTTAGAATGATTCCTAAGTTATATTAAATATCACACATATGTTTTCTGATTGTAGAACAGGAATTCGTTCATATAGCTCTGCTGCTCAAGTTCACACCGGGCATGTACAAACAGTGGCTTCAATTAAAGCCATGATACTATTCCAGATTTCCCAAACAATACAGATATACTCAAGAGAAGAATTTACTTCCTATTTGTTCTGAGGCTTTTAAGTACACATTATTGCATACTATATAAAAACAACTTAGTCTTCTCAGGTCCACAGGAGGTATTTGAACTGGAGTTTCCTTTTTGCTTTGCTGGTGTCAATTCTGAGTGAGGCAAACAATCCTTTGTATTCTGCTACAGAACAAACTTTGATTTTTCTGACCCAGTCAGCTGGACAAATGACATTTATTTTTCTACCC